TATTTTCTGCCAAAACAGTTCATTTGTCTCATAGAACAACTAATCAATTCCAGAGCCCATCAATCATTTTAGTTGTATACTGGTCTAGTCTTGCTCAGAGAAGGTCCAGATGGCCGCCTATGTAAGTGGGATTAATAAAATTCTGATAGATTTACATAGCATCAAACTACAAAATATACAGGGAAGATCAAATCTTACTGCAAGGTGGGATGGATATGTACATGCTTCATTTATTATATTTTTAATTCTTGCCCTAATTCTCAATTTATGTGTCAACGTCTAGCTAAAATCCTTTATGTATACAAGTCACTGAAAGTGATTTCTTGTTAAGTGAGTCAGTCTTTGGAGTACAGAACCAATGGACTCTTCGCAAAGCCCTACGATTATCACCCAGAGCCTTTTCTGTCAGTCTGCACTATACAGGAAGCAAGTGATCTCCAGACCAGAGTAACTGTGAGTTACGGGATTCCTCACTCTCTTGCTTCTGTAGTTCCAAACACAGGTCTAACAGCATTGGCTCTCCCTTCCCTGTTTTCTATTTTCTTCTGTAAAAGCAAACAGCCTGTACCTAATTCAAACCAGACTGAGGTGTGATTTTTTGATCCTCACGTAACCCTTACGTCCTGGGTCTAAAATGAATAAAAGCTAACAGTGACATAGTAACTTATTGTGTCAGATACTGATCTAGGATGCCTTTGTGTATGCATCCCTATAATTTATGTAAGTGCTAGATGTGAAAGGTACTAGAGTTAACCCCATTTTACAGATAAATAGCTTCTCTAAGGTCACAGAGCTAATATGTGGTAGAACCAACGTTTGAATGCTGGCAGTTTGGGTCCGTACTTTTTGGTACTTAATTAACCTCCCACTATATTCCCTCCATTATACTACAGAACAATTAACTAGCTTCAGATTGAGAAACTGGTGTCGGGGCTCCAGAATGGTAACACAGAGATCTGTAACTATGGCATTATATTGTCATTTTCTGTTACAGAGTGGAAAGAAAGGTCAGAACCAAAACAGGCAGGGAGCAAGCTCAACATTGGCCCCAATGGTCCTTGGCTCAAAAACATTTACAATAAAACTAAAATGGATCCTTATCTTATCATCTACGGTGCACATTAGTCAGGAAAACTGCCACAACAATGGAGCCCAAGCCTTACCAAATGGGCTTATTAGATACTGGTTTTCCTGATCTTTAAAACTGTGAAAAATAATTAGAGGTTTATATGTAAAAGTTTCCAAAATACATTTTTTATGTTTTTAAAAGCAATGATTCTATACAAGAAAACTTTTCCTTTCATTCAAGTTTACCATTAGAGTTTCTGAAACTCTAAAACTGTCACTTTCATCTCAGACGAACAAAATTCTGCCAGGAAACTGCATTTAGCCTCAGCACAACTTTCTCTTGGAAAAAATAAAACACCAGATATTATATTTCACCAAAGTACAAGCAAAATTTGACTACCTAAACTTGAACAAATAGCCTGTTTTCAATGTTGCAACAGCATATTTTTTCTTCTTTAAAATTATTGGGGTGACACTGGTTAATAAAATCAAATGGGTTTCAAGTGTACAATTCAATTATACGTCCTATGTATGCTGCATTGTGGGTTCACCACCCAAAGCTGGATTTCCTTTCGCCACACAATAGTGACTACATCTGGGCCTTCACTGGAGTAATCCAACATTTCAGTATAGAATAATTTTTTATCGTGATCTAGTTTGTTATGCTGGAATTCTGTTCAATTATAAAATGAATTCTCTAATATGAGAAATTACTAGGAACTATAATTTCTGATTTGCTGTAGTAACAGAATTACTGTTTATAATAGTAAAAAAGCTTTCACTGGCTCTCCCATATTCATGTTTCTTTTTTTAAAATTAATTAATTAATTTTTTTTATGGTGACATTGGTTAATGAAATCCAGTAAGTTTCAGCTGTACACTTTAACAGTAAGGCATTCACACACACACACACATCTACATATACATATATATTTTTACACTGTGTGTTCACCTCCTGTAGTTAGATTTCTTTCTGTCGCATTCCTACTGTTTCATACTTTAACAGTATGTTCCAGAATACAAAGATTTAGACCATCTTATAAGAAGACTAATATTTAGACGACCTAAGGAAACAAAATCAAGACTAACCAGTTTTGCCCATAGCAGAGGTTCATATTTCATTCGATTAACCAATAATGTTTATTAAACATACATGTAGATGTCAAAAATATGGAGAACATACTTTTCAAAGGTGAAGAAGCTGAGAGGCACAAATATCCACAATGTTTTGTCTCATAGATTCATAATGTGTGTTGAGTTGAATTAAAATCTGTACTTTATGAAAATAAGTGTTATTATTTTCTGTTTCTCATGATCAAAATTTTAACTATTGATTTAAATCTAAGAGTCACTTCTTTAGGAATTGGATGAGGAATACGCAGGTAGGTTAACTCTATTTTAGGAATACTCCAATTATCCAGATATCTACTCTCACTTTGGCTGGAGTACATATGAGTTGTTTACTGTACTGTAGAGGTATTGTGATCAGTCGGGTCGCTGGACATTCCATAAGAATCCATATTCAGCATGTCATTTTGAAAAATACTAGAGTCTGAGGGTCCTTAAAGTAATTGGCACACAAAAGAAAGGCCACTGTTACTTATAGATAAGTGATTGATATTGTTAGGAAGTATGTATGGTGATTTTAAAAAAGCAAACTCAAGAACCTATCTCAATTTATTTATCTAACTAGGAAAGAAAAATAGCCTATACATTTTCTTAATTGCCTAGGAAAAGTGGGGAGGATGGGTGCATCACAGGAAAACCAAACCAGCACTCTCTGTAACAAGGCCACTAGGCTAAGTCTACGTAGCAACAAGAACTGAGCTATCAGCAACTCAGGGTGCTGTGGATACCTCCCAACCTCTGGGCATTTTACTAGATACCTACAGAGTTCTGGGAACTTCCTCAGATAATGAGAATACAGAGATGGATAAAATATGATCCTTGACCTCCAAAAACTAAAGGTTTAGTGGAAAGGAGAAGGTTTTTGTTTTTAATTGTAATTCAATGTGCTATAACACGATAAATGCTGTAACAAAAATGTGAACAAAGGACTATGGGAAAGCAGAGAAGGAATGACTAACCTCCCCTCCTATCATGTAGGAAAATGACTTGATTTGAACAGTTATTAGACTTTAATTAGTAGGGTTAAGGTTCTAAGACACCAATTTTTAGAAGATGCTAAAGACAGAATATACAAATTAAGAATCCTCAAACACTTTATGAATATCTAACATTTCAGGGGAAGGGGAGTTAAACCCTGCAAGTTTTAAACTATGCTTCCTCAAAACTGTATGGGCCCCTCAGGGATCCCAAAAGGGATCAGGGTGGCAAATGTACTCCAGGCCAGTAGCAGCCTTAAAGGCTTCTCATTCCCCTAAATTCTCCATCAGCCCTTCCCTATCCTACCCCAAAGAAACATTTAATCTAAGTAAAAATGGTGTGCTTGTTATGCAAGTAGATTTGACACAGGACCCTGGTATTAACTGAGTGGCCATTAAGTGGAAACTATAAGCATTTACAGTTGATTTAGAGTGGTATCAATAATTCTCCTCACAGAATGCTACCTGGGAGTTCTCATCACAACTTGGATAATGTCGGCAAACATTTCTGTGAGACTGAAGCATAAATTTTTGGTACAATTTCCTCTTCCCTCTACTATTTCCCTTCAATAGACTCAGGTAATCCCAATTTTCCACTTGAAAATTAGGCTCATTTATATTATGCTAATGAACAAAAAAAGTTCAGATATCTCAAAAAAGGTAAGAGCATCAGAGATTCTTATTTCTTATTTTTATTTGTAAAGTAACGATCTTAGAAGAATGTCACATGACTTTAAAGATGGAGAGAATCTTTTTTCCTGATTTACACAAACACAGTAAAGAAAAATCCAAAAAATTTTATAGGTAACATACAAAATTTAAGACTTTTGTTAAACAATAAAAAAAGACCTTAAATTTCTTTAAATTGTGATAAAAATGCATAATATAAAATTTACCATCGTAACCATTTCGAAGAGTACAGTTCAGCAGTGTTACGTATGTTCACCTTGTTGTGCAACCAGTCTCCAGAACCTTTTCATCTTGCAAAACTGAAACTCTGTGCTCATTAAATAACTCCCCATTTCCCACTCCCTCCAGCTCCTGACAATCACCATTCTATTTTCTCTTTCTATAAATCTGACTAGTCTTGATACCTCATATAGCACATCTTTTTATGACTGTCTTACTTCACTTTAGCATTATGTCCTGAAGGTTCATTCATGTTTTAGCTGTTTCAAAACATCCTTCCGTTTTAAAGCTGAATAATACTCTTAGAACATACCATGTTTTATTTATCCATTCATCTGTCAATGGACACCTGGGTGGCTTTCACCTCTTGGCTATTATGAACCGTGCTGCCATGAACATGGGTACGCAAATATGTGTTTGAGATTCTCCTTTCGATTTGTTTGGATATAGAATTACAAGTAGAATTGCTGGATCACACAGTAATTCTTTAATTTTTTGAGGAACCTCTGCAATGTTTTCCTTAGTGCACCATCTTACACTCTAAAATGATTTTTAATTTGTAGCTAGAGTAAATAAACTATAAAAATTCTTTAAAAGAAAAAGTGGCATTTTAGAGAAAACTAACAACAACTAAAACTCATAGCTTTAGATTGTCCCAGACAGAACCTTGCCCTACCAACTACTTACGTGGTGTGAAGAGGAACTGTCTGGCACTGATTCGGACACGATGATTTTAAAGATTATATAACTAAAAATTCTTTCCTGCCATTGATTATCCTACTAGAGATACCACCAAATCAGTTTCATGTTAAGAAAGAGTTCTTCACAGATGGAAGTTTAAAGATTAAAAATACACACACACACTCACACACGTACATATAAATATCCCTATTATGAAAGACCAGAAGAGAAAATTACCTGATGATTTCTTCATGATACAGAGAACTAACAACTGGCCCACCAAAACCAGTAATTGCTTCTTTTCCTTTCTTCTCTGGCGACTGTGGGGGTGGAAAAGGTAGAAAAAGACATATGGATTAAAGCAGTGTGTATTCAAGCCAGTTACAAAATGTCAGTTTGCTAAGGAATACTAAAGGCTTGACCACCCACCAGTTCTGCAAGGCCCGATAACAGTTTCAAGACTGTCAGAAAGGCAAGAGGACTCTCGGGCCATCACAAGTGGAATGAGAAGCCACGAGTGAGCTAAGGTCATTCCTCTTCTGCCTTCTAGGGCCACCTAAAAGCCGTTTCCTTCGCTAATTATGTTAGCTATGTTCATTGGAGAAAATATGGATGTTCGATGTGGAAAAATGAAAATGAAATATGAAATATAAATACTAGACAGGAATATGATGAGGAAAATCATATCTAGATTAACAATATTAAAGTTCCCCAAAAAGGAAAAATCCAAGCTGTAGTAAAACTTCAAATTTAATTATAAGGAAAAACAAAGAAAAAAATTTTAGATGGCAAGAAGAAAGGAGAGAAGGTGGAAGGGAGAGAGGAAAAGAGGTTGAGATCTAAAATAAGAAAGCAAACTCATAAAAATGCTTTCCAAAATCAAGTATTCAATAGGCCCCGCCCCTCAATATTCTCAAGGAGCACAAGATTAAGATTAAATTTAGAAATAAGATTCTTCCAAAACATGTAACGTGCAAGCAGTGAACCTGAATGTTATTGTCTGAAAGGATTAAATCGCAACCTCTGCAAAAGCCCACATCTCCTGCAATATTGACACTCAGTTCTACTCTACTGGTCTCTCCTTACGCCAGTACCACACTATTTTAATTATTGCAGCTTTGTAGTAAGTTATTTTTTTTTTTGAGGTGAGTATCTTTTAATTTATATATTTTAAAAGTTTTTTCATTGTGAAATGTGAAAAACATATTGAAAATGTATAAAACATATAGTTAAACAAATAGTTATAAAGTAAGCACCAATGTTGCCACCACCAAGGTCAAGGAATAAGACACTGGCAGCACCAAGAAGTTCTCTATGTGTGACTTTCTGACCATAACTACTCTCCCTCCCTCCCCTAGAGGTTTCTGCTTGGTTTCTACAGTAATCATATATACTTTTTCCTTTATTTCCACAAACTATTTGAGCATCCTTAAACAACATACATTAACATTTTTTTTTATAGTTTCTACATTTAGTAGTATACTTATGCCTTCCTCAGCACAGGATTATAGATCTATTAACCTATATTGTGCTCAATTTTTTGGTTTAAAAATGTGAAATATAACACATACCAAAAATTACATAAAACATAAATTGTATACTTTAAATGTTATACAGAAAACACCCAGTAATTACGACCCAGGGAAAGAAACAGAACCTTGCTAACACCCTAGAAGCCATCACAATCTTCTGTCTTTTTCTGGATGTGAGCACTATCCTGACTTTTAATCATTTCCTTGCTCTTCTTTATAAAGATAATAAAATTCATCTAAATATGCATTCCTAATCAATATAATTAACATGTCTCATTTTGATATTTATATTTGCTGTTTCTATTCCTGTCTTGTCAACATCATGTTAGTAATGTTATTGTTCCTTAACTTTATTTTCATTGCTGTCTAGTTATTCATATTCTGTAACTATGCAATAATTTATTATTTTAATTTTACTGTGTTGGATATTTGGATAGTTTCTACTTTTGCTATTAACAGCAATGCTGCTGGGAACATTTCTGTATATGTATCCTATATATTCATGCATTTCTCAAGGTGTTAGACGATATACACCTACTAGCTAAGGCAAAACTTTTCCAATTTATATTCCTATCAGCAGTGTAGTAAGTTTTGAAATTGCAAGTGTGAATCCTCCAATTTTGTTCTTTTTCAGCATTGTTTTGACTATGTAGGGCCTTCTGCAATTCCATATGAATTCGAAGACTGGCTTTTTCATATCTGCAAAAATAGCAGTTAGAATTTTGATGGAGATTGCACTGAAACTGTAGGTCACTTTGGGTAGCACTACCATCTTAACAATATAAAATCTTCCAATCTATGAACATGAGATGTCTTTCCATTTATTTAAGTCTTCTTTTATTTGTTTCAGTAATGGTTTACAGTGTTCAAGTGTAAAATCTTTCACCTCCTTGGTTAAAATTATTCCCAGGTACTTTATTCTTTTGGATACTACTGTAAATGGAACTGTTTTCTTAGTTTCCATTTTAGGGTGTTCATTGCTGGTGTATAGAAACACAACTGATTTTTGCATGTCACTCCTGTATCTTGCAACTTGCTGAATTTTTTTTATTAACCCTAGTAGTGTGTGAATTCTTTGGATTTTCTATATATAGGGTCATGTTATCTGTCAACAGAGATAGTCTTATTTCTTCCTTTTGAATGCTATATTTCTTTTTCTTGTCTAATTGCTTCAGGTAGAATTTAAAGTACAATGTCGAATAACAGTGGTAAAAGCCGGTAGGTATCCTAATCTTATTCTTGATCTTAAGGGAAAAGCTTTCTGTCTTTCACCATTGAGTATAATGCTATCTATGGCTCTTTCATAAATGTCCATTATCATGGTAAGCAAATTATATCTCCATTTTTGAAAGCAATCTTAAATGGTATAGAATTATAAGGTGATAGTTTTTCCCTTTTGGTGTTGCCTCTACTGACTTCAGATTTCTGAAAAGAATTCTGCTGTAGTTCTTACCTTTGTTCTATTTTTTTTGTCCGGATGCTTTTAAGATTTTTTTTTTCCCACTAGTTTTTAACAATTTGATTATGGTATGTCTTGGCATTTTTTTCTGCTTAGAGTTCATTGAGCTTCTTGGATCTGTGGGTTTATGGCAATGATTCTCAAATAGGGGAGACTTTTTGTTCCCCATATCCCCCCAAGGATGTCTGACAATGTTTGGGACAATTTTGGGTTGTCGTAAATTGGTGGACCTATTGGCATCACTAGAATTGCTGCTAAACATCCTACAATGCCCAGGACAACCCTCCACAAGGAATTACCCACCCCCAAATGTCAAAGGTGCAAAGGCTGAAAAACTCTGGTTTATTATTTTCATCAAATGTTTAAAATTTCAGCTATCATTTATTAAATTTTTGTTTCTGTCTTCTCTCTTTTGCTTTTTCTCTTCTTTCTGCTAGGGCTCTGTTCATTTTTTGTTCAGTCTTTTTGGGCCGTTTCATTTTTATTAGTTTCATTTGTTATGTCTTCAAGTTCACAGATCTTTTCTGACATAATGTCTAATCCGACGTTAATCCTATCCAGTTGATTTTTCATGTCAGATATTATTTTCTTACATCTCTAGAAGTTCCATTTGGGTGTTTTTGTAGCTTCCATTTCTCTCTCCATTATGTTCATGTTTTCCTCTACTTCTTGGAATATACAGAATATATTTATAACAACTGTTTTCATCTCTATCATTTCTGCTTTCATTGACAGGTTTTTCTCTTGGTTATGGATCATATTTTCCTGCTGTCCTTGAATGCTTGAAAGTCTTTTACTGTAAGTCAGACATTGTAAATTTTACACTCATTTGCTGACTTTGTTGTGTTCCTTTAAATTATGTTAGACTTTGTTTTGGCATGAATTCGGTTATACGGAATTTGACCCTTTCAAGGCTCACTCTAAAGCTTTGTTAAGGCAGGAGCAGAGCAGCCTTTAAGTTCAAGCTTAATTTAGACTCACTACTGAAGTGAAATCCTTCGGAGGCCTCTATCAGATACCCCATATATTACATTTTTCTTTCCACTCTGACCAGTAGGAAATGAAATATTCTCAGTCCTATATCGTCTCCAAGACTTCTTTGGCCTACTGCTTTCTTGTATTTCTTTTCCCAGCCTGTTAGTTTCCTTTCACACATAGAGATTAGTATTCAGTCAAAGGGACCCTACTGCAGATCTCTCTCCTACGCAGGAACATCCTCTCTATTATTTGGCCCTGCATTTCCTAACTCAAATCAGTGAGACAGCCAGGCTCTTTTGGAGAGGTAGCACAGTTTTGTAAAAAGAGCACAGGTTTTTTGATTTTTTTCTCAAATCAGTGAGACAGCCAGGCTCCCTTCGCTATAGTCTGGAAATTGCTTGCAGGTAATAAATAAGCTAAGGCAATCACAGAGCTTACTTTGTTTCCCTTCTCTCCTAGTTTTACATTACTTTTAGTGCCACGTCTGAAAATTTTCATTTCATCTATTGTGTCCGGTTATCGTCTTGTTTTAGGCTAAAGGGTAAATCTCATCCCTATTCCTCTATGCCTGGAGTCGCAGAAACATTAATTTAAAAAACCAGCATAACATTCCGTGCGGTAATATAACACAATTTACTTAACCATTATTTAGGTAATTTTCACTTTTCTACTCATAAAGATATGATGAATACTGTTGCACATAAAGCATAATACAATTGTAATTAAAATCTTCAGGGAAAAAATTTGATTCCATAATTTGATTATAGTGTATTCTAAATATATTTCGTCTTCCTGTGATTAATTCCTCATTCTGAAGCAACTGCACAAAGCATGTCAGAATGCCGGTGACAACTTTTTTGGGAGGTGTGGGGGAAGGGAAGATTATATCTTAAGCAGAAATATTTTAAAAATAATCTCCCATTATCAGAGTGAATTCAGAATAAAGCTGTCAAAGATGCATTCGTTTTCCTCTCCATTCACTTCATCCACAAGAAGGGGAAGACTCTGGAGACTTTAGCTTCCAGGTTTCCACTCCAGTGAAATGTTTCTCACAGCACCTTAAGAAGTTTATTCCATTTCTCTCTACTCAAAATCCATTAGGTTATTTTTATGTTGCATCAGCAGTTAAAGAAAGAGACTCTAGTTTGGCAGCCAATAGGATAAAATCTGCCAGTTCTTACATTGCCTCAGACTGTATTATTTGAGACACTGAAATGTGCCTTCACCCAGAAGAGAAAAGATAGGTTGTTGGCTGGATCTTTACCATTTGGATTCAGATTCTGCATTAGTCAGTTGCAGGGTCAAGACTTAAAACATTGTGAAACTTTCTTTTCCATCTTAAAAATAACTA